GCACCTCAAGCCCCTCAGGCTGCGCATACTGCTCCTCAGAACGGCTCCCATACGCCTACGCCATATGGCGCCCCGCCGAACGTCGGTACAATGCCAGTACAAGCACCGCCTCGAAGCCCATCCTCAGAAGGACCTTCACCTCCACTCCCACCTTGACCTGTTGCTGAGACAGCGCCGCAGATTCCACCTGTGAACGTGGGCGAGGCAACGACAGACGATGCAGCAAAACAAGAGCCTACCGCACCGGCTACTGCTCCCCCTCCACTGAAGAACGATCCCAACGACCGAAGTTTGTATGAGTAGGCTTATTAGTCAACTCGTTGTAATGAGACTCAATGAGTCAACACAGTAGACCACATTCGTCATGGAAAAAAAGTAGTCGCATTTTAGCATAGTTCTCCTCGAGCATTTCGCGTACAGATACCCCAGCTCGGAGTTTCTTCCTTTAGTCAGTCACACAATGACGATAATGTACGCTGTAGTATGGTCATTGCTGACACATCTTCTACCTTCCTGCATGACTACGCAACCTCGTCTCTACAAAGTTCCTAAGCCGCTATGCTGTGGAGGATACGTAACAGCAAGGCTTAGTACACGCTTCTCACAGTCATTCTGTATTTTGCCAGAGTCACGATCCTGAGTTTGACCATGCCGAGTCAGCAAGCTGTATGATATTTCAGATCTATAAGAGCTTCACTCACTCTAGCTTTTGGATTCCTTCCCTCCTCGTATCTACTATGGCGTACAAATTTCCCACGGAGCCCTACCAGAGTGATTTTGATCATAGTAAAGTCAGCCCTGTCTCAAGTCTTTCGATCAATTCTGTACGCAGAAGGACTAGCAGCGTATCACTGCGCTCTATCGCGCCCGAACACGATCGAACCGGCTATGGATACGAATCTCATACGTTGGGGTATACACCTACACCTGGTGAGCACTTACACCTTACACAACAAAAGCCGCATATGCCAAAGGCGGGAAAGTAATTTGCTCATATCAGAGTTACAGATATGACAACAAGACGCATGGATGATTACAACATACAACCTTCGCCACAAGTAAAGCAGCCAGAAATTCACCACGCAGACTTTGACCACCCTCCCTTTGCCCAACAGGCACGATTCAGCTATGCTACCCCAGGAGGTGAAAACCCAGTGAACGACCCAGTAGCTCGTCAGGACTATTTGGAACCTAACCTGAACTGGCGGGATCGCCGTCGCTGTACCCGCATTCAAGGTACGATCTTGCTGCGCCATGTTCAGGTTTCACATGTGTGTTGACAAAGCCTTGTGGGCGGATAGACAAGTTCATGGACCTCGATTCGAGCAATCACAACAGTCTGGGTATCTACATTCGTTGGCGGGCAGAAGATGCTCCTCACGGCAGAGGAAAGGAGGTGGTAGCTTTACTTCTCGTAGCAGGAGGTCACAGGAAGACACCAAAGGAAGAGATGTGGAGCAAGCCTTCTCCAAACACTTCGAAGGCTTTGAAGAACCTGGAATCTAGAGTTAACGAGAGGGGTAGGAGGGAGGCATCACCCGCAAATGGACTGGGCTTTACAAAGATCTTGCAAAGAAGGTTACTCAGGCTGGTCGCTCGAAAGAAGTCACGATAATTTGAGTAACAAGGATAGTGGTTATAAGTGGGATTCACGACATACAGCAGTTAAAGTGCACTGCGTGTCACTTGCGATAAGTCTAATACCATCTTTTTCTTGCTGTCATGTCTTGTGCCAAAGACGTGAGTCAACGGGGGTTGGGGAACTTCTTCGTATCTGGGGGCTAGAACCGGTACTCAACACTCTTTAATCGCCTTATCTACATCTTCATCTTCGCTCGACAGATATACATCTCTCGATCTCAACACGTCAGCGATCGATAACGTCATCGTCAATGACCGATTCTGAGTGTTGTGGGTTGACACTACCTAGGTAGGCCGTGGCTCCGACGGCAGGTAGTTCGGAAGCGTCCTAAGCCTAAGTCCTATCGGCCGATCCGGGAAGCCTGCATCCGGATAGACCCGACGTGCGCTGTTAGTGTTCGCGATTTTAAGTGTCCTAACGGCACTCCGACCGCTTGTCCGAGCTGACCAGTTTACTTTTTGCCACGCGCCAAGGCTGGCTAGAGCTACCTTCATGATCGAGGCGATGTTTGCTTTTGATCGTGCCGTCTGTCCGAAAGTAGCACCGGCCCACAGTACTGTCAATAGAGGATGGCTTAAGTCAAGGAAGCGGACAGTAATGTTCTAGCTGACATTCAGCCCTGGCACCCGCAATGGTCTCTTATAGGTATGCAAGGTGAGCTTCTAAGCTAGACGCTATCAGATAGACGTTGTCAGACAGATCCTACATGTAGAGCAATACTAGTACTGTCGCTGGCATACACAGCTGCCACACTAGCTGTCGCTACACTCTCATGCATATACAGCTTCGGGCACTAAAATATGCAGCAAGTGACATAATCGGTAGAAGCATTGACGCCTCATCTAATAGTCACTATGACATATCCCTCAGAGATAGACATCAGCTTCATACATATAAATCGGTTACTGTCGAGTATCTCGTACTTTTTTTACTACGAGAACCCAAGGCTGCAACTATGCCGTTCACAATCTACATCATCGCCATCAACGGCGGCCACGTCGTCGAAGCCAACAATGCCGGAAAGGAAATCAAGACCCAGAAAGCAACGGTGTCCGAGTCCCAGCAATGGGTGGTGGAGTGGAAGGGCGCAGGTAAATCTGACGAGTTCGCGCTCCGAAATGTCGCAACCAATGACTATCTGGGGGCTCCCAAGGGCGTCAGTGGTACATATTGCACCACAAACGCAAAGCAGTTCTGGCGAGCTGAGCCTGGTCATTCGCCTGGATCTTTCTGGTAGGTTTTGACGTCGAACGATTTGCGTGCGCTTGCTTACAGTAAGTAGGTTAAAGAGTCTCGAGTTCGACGATGCATGCCTGTGCAACTCAGGCGCCAAGACCACCGCTAATAGCATCGTCTACATGTGGAAGAAAGATGTATGATGACATTCACGCCTACCGTTAATGATTAAGCGCTGACCGAATTATAGGAGGGTTGGGTCCAGTCTATGCTCTGGTATCTCAGGGATGTCAACGAGAAAAGCCCTTTTGGTCATTTTGGTCAGAAATAAGCCCGTTGTGGCTGATGGGACAGCTTAGACTAGGTTTCTGGCGCCGTATCTTGTGTTGAGGTGAATAACGGAGGAAATTGAATATACAGCTTGTCGGCATATATATTGCATCGCGGATTCACCGATATACAATTACAATCTCAATTAGTGCTATAAGGAGTAGCTACGCTAAGATTGACATGAGAAGGGGATATGATTTCAAAAGTTCACGAAATACCTAGGAAAGAGACTTTGAACACAGCACTATGTTAATACTTCTTTCCGAATGTCTAAGAAAAGCCCTTTAAGATTATTAATACAAATTTCTAATACAAAGACACTACTAAATAATATCTATTAGACTCTAAGGATTGCAATCTCTCTTATTTAATTAGAAGTACCTTTACGTATATAGTAGTTATATAATTTAGAAATTACTAGTAGCTTATCTTACTCTATATTATTATAGTACTATAAATAGAATAGAAGAGAACTAGAATATTATATTGTATACTATAGTAAGTTAATAGTTAAGGAATATATAATGTAACCGCATAATATCCATTACAAAGCTAAGAAGATCTACTGCTATTACCATTTCTAATCTCGCACATTACAATGTTCGCACTCTCCTAACCCTGCATTACCCATAAAGCTGCTCTAACTAACTCAATAGATACCATCTAACAAGAACCACCAGCAGAATGAAATGCCGTGTTTTGTTTGCCCGATACAGCTGTTATTATGACATTAGTCTTGTCTAAAAACTAATTAGCCATACTAAACTTACATCGCGGCTTCCATGTCTCCAGCTCGTCGTCGAGGAGCTGGCACTGCTTGACGTTGGTGTTTGCTTGCATGGCCTACTTGCTCGATCCACGAGGGTTTGCAGGCATCGGATACGGGTAAGGAGCGAAGGGAAGCTGGCCGGAACCCGCAGTATCAGTGGCGCCAGATGTAGAGGTGCTACTGGAAGTGGTAGATGCAGTGCTTGTAGTCGCGGTGCCAGATCCGGTATTGCTACCAGTGCCAGAGGTATTGCCAGTATTTCCAGACCCCGTGTTTGAGGGCATGATCGAGTGGATGGTCTGATGTTGGTTTGGTTATGCTGGATTAAAGAAGGTGCAGATTTGAAGGTGAAGTTTTATATTTGATGGGAACTGGTGGACAACTGGGAAGACAACAATGGATACAATGGCATTATCGTCGACTACTGCAGCTTTTTATACAGGCGATGAGTCTTCTCCATCGGGTGACACTGTATAAAGGTGACCGGTGCATAGTCGTACAGAACTCGTGCTTCTTCGTCACTGCGACGGCCTGAGAACTGGAGTTCACCGATCATCTCTGGCACGTGTGGTATTACATAGAGAGCAGAGTTCGTTGATGACAGACTCATTGTTGTTTCAAGAGGCTAAAATATGACGAAATCAGACTATGAGGGTCACAAAGTTACACGAAGATTTTGAAAGAACGTTCATCTCGTGGAAGTGATGGAACAAAACGAAAAGTGGGGAATAGACGACGTGAGCATGTAGAGATAAAAACAGTGCCGTCTCGCTAAAATCTAGAGATCCTTTTGATGCTGTCCAGCGGCGTTAGTGCACGGGCTGTCTTTCCAACAGACCGTGCATCCTTCGTCACTAAGTTGACTCCGATGTGACTTACGTTCACTAGTCACATTCGCGTTACTTCGGCAACGACTCATCGCGAGATTTATGACTGTACCTTGACTCACTTCCTACATTAAAACAACAATGGCTCTACATATTGCTACTTCAACCCGATACCCTTTCTACTGCAGAGCAATAACGCAGGAACTGGCACGCCGTGTCCATCGAGCTTCAAGGCCTCAGTCATCCGTCACACGCAATGTCCGCTTCAATCAAAGAATCCAATAGCACGAAGGTCACAACATGGATGTATAAAAACTTCGACGGCCTCGGTAGTAACATGTATGCCGAAGAGCTCGATGAAGACATCATAGAAAAATTACAAGGTATTTTTTCCAAGGACAAGTCGCATCCTTTCCATTGCCAATCTTTAACATGAACCTGTGCAGGCTATGTCCAAACCATCACTCTCCAGATTCCGGGTTCCAAAGGCGTTGAAGTTGAGGTCAGAAGGGAGCAAACAAGAGTAGGACGGAGAGAGGAAACCTGGTCCGTCACGGCTATGCTTCACGATCCAGAGGACAAGATCTCTGGCTCCGGCATGTGGTACCTCAGGTCGGCCTTGGACGAACTGGAGCCAAAGCTGAAGAAGGAAAAGGACAATAGAAAACGATAAAGGGAAGTAGTCAATTGATCGGCGGTTGTGTCAGATCTAGAAGGCATCAGATCATGTTGTGTTCTCAGCGGAATGATATCCATCGTCAAGGGTAGCTAATTGTAATGATCGAGGGCTGAAACTCCTTCGGCAAATTCGTAGTTATCTATCTGTCGCAGAACGCACCTCCGCAGTGCTCGTAAGAGCATTGCACATAATTATACTAGCTTATATTAAGACAAGCTTCTCAGGAACTTTTTACTTAAGAGAGCTTTCCGAGTAAGCTTACAACGCAATAATTCATCTCCGATTCATTCCTATGCTCCTAGACGCGACACTATCAAATTCTATAACCTTCAGAGTCATTGCGCCAGCCAGATACAGGACACTAATCCCATCCCAAGTCAATTGGAACATGTCAGTGTATGCATCAAAGTTGTCGCCGAAAGCGCGAGGAAATCGGAAAGAAGGGCAATCAAAGGCCTCTTCGTGATCTCCAACTCAAAGAGGAGGTCGAATCTGTCAAGAAATCGAGAATTTCTTTTACAGACACTGTGAGTAAAATGCACCACGAATTGAATGATCGGATGCCCGAAGGACACCGGAAAGGAGTTATGAGGCCAGCTCTTTATTAAGATATTATGAGACTACATGTAGTCGAAATGAGTGTGTTGTGACCTTAAGAAATAAGTCCAAGACAGTCTCTGATCCAAATCCACCAACCGCCCATTAACCACCATTACAACATCCCTAACACAACACCCCTAATATAAAAGCCCTGACATATCATTCCTTATCGAAAGACTTAATTCTCGTAATCATTAAGACCCACCCGCCCTTTCCTTCCTCAAAACATCATCGTCCAATCTCTCCTTGAGATCGTCCAAAGCCTTTGCAATATAATTCAACTGATTGCCTTGCTTCTCGGTACCATTTGGCAGCGTAAGGGTGACAACATGGCGAACAACGTCTACATCGTTGTCCTTATCGTTGATGCTGTTCAGCACGAAGTTCACGCCCGCGTTGAGAGTATAGTTCGGATCGAGCTTTTTCGCCAGGTCTACATCACAGTTAGACTAGCACTTTTCGTAATGTTTGTATAATAGCTTACCTTCGATATTTGCAATGGTGATTCTTTGGCTAGGGGTAAGCGAACGGCCGTTGAGGCTGCCCAGGGAGTGTTGTCGTTGAGAAACAGACATGCTGGTCACTAACGATTCGCCGGCGTTTAAAGGGACTTCTGGGTGAAGATAAGGCGGTGAAGATTGAGGTGTGTTAAATGTGTTCAGTCTGTTAAATGAGGCAGTGAGTATCGTTGTGTTCTACTACTTACCTACGAGAAATCGCCAGATTTATACTATTGATGACTCCCATTAGAGAGACCCGAACGTTGATACAAGTCATATCTGAATGCCTCCTCTGGGTGTCCTTGCACGGAAATGACTGTAATCATGCTACGTAGGGTGTCGAGATGTAGGTGTCTGGGGCCATCATGTCCACAAAGCGGGAGGGGCAGAGAAGATCGGTAGCAGCTGAGACATGTATGATAGCGCAAGCGCCCAGATTCCAGTCAACGAAAGAGGGGAAGAGGCCCATATAAGAGGAGTCTCCAATAGTGCAGGTCACTGTCCGTGTCCATAGAGATATAGTCTGGCTGAGCGTCTCTATCGTGACTCTGCGACGCAGGGCAGACTACGGTCTATATAACCGTGTGGAACGGTGACAAATACTGGCTGTAACACCATGTTAGAAGATGATATCACCATATGGCTACGACCAAGGCAGCAAAGGGCTCCAGCGTAAGTAAAGTGTACGGCACGGCACGGCAGACAAAGACTCGAGGACGCGCACATACATGTTGGCAACCTCTACAGCGTAATCGACTCTTGGCTATGACGGAGACAAAGAAACAGACTGGTAGTGTGATCATTTGGCGACAGAGAACTCAAGAGAGACGGGATTGTCTTGTTGAATATGCTAATGTAAAGACGATGAACACGGTAGATAATCGTAATGCATTGTGTCGTCTGAACACCTTGTGGTCACTGCATGCAACTGTATATATGTTGTTTCACTGAGCGCCAGTCATTAGTACCGAAGTCATAGAAGTCGTTGCGTTCGACAAGAGAGATCGGATGAATTAGACATATTCAGATATTGGTATCTATCTTCGCGCTCAATATCAAGCAGCCAGCAGAACACTACAAAAAGTGCAAAAGAGGACGCACGAAGGCGCAAGAAAAAACCACAATCTACGCAAGCCGAATGCTATGCACGATATCCCATAACATCGAGTCAAGTCAAGAAGAGAGAAGAGAGAAGAAGAGAGAAAAAGTACTCCGACATGCCAGGCTCCAGCGTCCAGACATCGAGCTGAGAAGTGTGTGGGAAAGAGAAAGAAGAGAAACGAAAAACTTCTGCTTCCTCCACAACTGGGAAAAAACATTATCGTACAAACGCCATCAAGAAGCGTGAAGAAGGGTATGGTGTGTATAGCGTTTCCATGTTGTGCCATTAGTATCCGTACTGTCGTCTAGCTGTGGCGGCTCGTGGGCGGCGTCCACCAGAACCAGGGCCGATGTCGATGCTCTGCAGCTCCAAGCTGAGTGCCATGTCCTCGTTCTGTGTGCCATAGCCGCCGCCATTCATATCCATGGGTACCTTGGCGGGAATAGGCGGTGCCGCGACACTATGCCTCTGGGTACCACGTCGGTCGTAGCTGGGGCTGCTGCCGTAGCTGTTGGGGTTGTCGCGTTCGCGGAGGACCTGTCGGTCTGGGAGTTGATACTGCGGTGGTGTGTCGTAGGCGGAGACGGGGCGTTGGTCGCGCCTCGTGGGCCTGCTGCGTGCTGTTGGATTGGGAGGTGCGTTGTGCTGGCTCTGGCTCGCGAGGACCAGCGCACCTGCGTTCACAGGCTGGTTGTAGTCGTTATTGAAGTCGTGTCTCGTGGTAACCAGCGCGTTGCTGTTGTCAAAGTTCATGCTGGCTGCATGGCGAATGCGCTCTCTATCGGCACGCTCTCGTTGGTATCGTTCCTCGCGTTGCATCGCGGCTTCGAGATCTCTGCTGCCGTTGAGCTGGGCTCTTGTGCGAGGAGCCTTCTCCTTGACTGTGCCCTTCGGTACTGGCTCAGGCGCCCAGTTGTCGACAGGTAGATGGTCGGACGCATCGACGACCCTGCCACTGAATGTGACAATTTGTCCTTTGTCATTGTACTCCATGCGGCTACCTGGTCGCTCGAGCTCGTCGTCCGAAGGTATGGGAGACTTCGATATTCTAGGGTTGTAGACATCGAAACTGTCGGGGTTGAAGGCTACTCCAGAAAGTCGTCGCTCACCCATATCCTCTCTGGAAGGCGGTGGGCGAGGCGAGACTGATTTACGCGTCGGCATACTTCTCGCAGGCAACCTAGACGAGCGATCGGTAGCCGGGTTAGGAGAATGTCGTTCCATCTCAGGGTTGGGAGAGTAGCGATCCATGATCGGGTTGGGCGAGTAGCGGTCCATTGCTGGGTTGGGAGAGTAGCGTGAGCTCACGTTAGGGCTCGTAGCACGCGGCTTGATGATCGGGCCGGCATCGTAAACTGGAGGAGACATCTGTCGAGGCTGCTCAGGCGGGTCATGGGGATAATAGTCGTTCGTTTGGTACGCGGAATGATGAACCAGTTCCTGCGACTGAACGGGGTCTTCGTACTGAGTGATGGCCCGATACTCTGCAGGCTCAGAGTAGTGGCGCAGTCTCGGTGGGGTCTCATACGATGGGGGCGCTTCGTAAGGTGGCGCTTCAATCTCCTGTCTTTGTGGGTTGAGTCCAGCGATGAGTGCACTCGGTAACGCGGGTGCTTCCTGGCGTAGGGTTTCCTGTCGCAGCGGGGATGGCACCATGTTGTCGCGGGAAACTGGACGACTTGATGGCTGCGCTGGCATACGAGGATGAGTGTAGCGTCGCTCTGCAGGTTGTCGAGGCGCGTAGTTGTCAGGTTCGTATTGCTGGGGCGGCATATCATAGCTGAACTGACGGGGCTCCTCACGCGATCTCGCCGAGAAGCTCAGGGGCGCGGGGGCTTCTTCGCGGTAGCGCTCACGATCGGGGCTCTCTTGGTTGGGGTGAGGTAGCGTGCTGGCATTACGCTTGTGCATTGGCGGCGGTGGTGGCATGTCGTCCTCGTCCTCAACCATGGGCTGCATGGCGCTGCGTCTCCGATGAGTAGGGCTCTCGTCTTGTAGGGGTGGAGCCTCGATAAATCGTTGGCCGTAATATTGGTCGAGTGGAGGGGCCTGCTCGCGGCTACGACTGCTTCGCAAGGGTGCAACTTGATAAGTCGGATCCTGGTACTGGTCTTGCGCGTATGGCTGGGCTGGCTGCGGGGCCGACTCAATTCGTTGAGGCTCAGACTGCTGATGCTGCAGTAGCTGTTGCTGCAGATACTCAATCTGCTTCTGCTGCTCCTGCAGTTTTTGCGATTGCGCCGGAGACTCATACGCGTGCTGCGTTGGCACAATTGGTGCCGAGTGAGAATGTACTGGCTCGGGGTGCTGCAGTGCCTGGCTCCTAGGAGATCGACCGTCTTCCTGCGACATCCTTCTCTGGTCTGAGTGCCGAACATGTTGTGGCAGAGGATCGATCGGCTTCACCTCGTATGGCTTGGGCGCGGCGTAGGACATGTCGAAGCTCTCTTCCCTTGGTAGGGGCATCCTCTGGGCTGATGAGCGCGGGTTCGGGGGTGTGCTGTAGGACGTCTGCGGTACAGGGCGCTGGGGAGTGTTCTGGCTCGATGATGATGCGGGGTTCAAGGGGGACCCATCTGGTATAGGCCTGCGGGAGGGTGTGTCGGGCTGGCTGCGCTGCGTTGGTGACGGCTCGGTTGCTGTTCTTTGGTGTCGCGGGGAGCCCAGTTCTCGCGGGCCAGCCCTAACGCCCCGCAGTCCTCGGTGCTCTGGTGTGTGTACTGGTGATGGCGTTGTGCCTGTGGGGTCGCTGGGCAGCGGGCGCCGCTTGACGGGTGCCATCTCTCGCGCTCCACCCACAGCAGCCTGTCCTTCGGGCTTGGTCGACTCCCTCCTCTTCTGCAGAACCGGCTTCTCGCTCTTCTCGCGGGTGTCGTAGTAGGTGATCTCCATGCGGATCTCGCCAGCATACTTGCCCTTGCAATTGAGGCCCAGCCATTCGTCGCTCTGGCCTCCACCAGGGGTGATGACGGAGTTGAGGTTCGCAAAGGCCTCGCCAATCAGCTCCGTCTTCTTGTCGTCATTGAAGACGGAGACCTTGAGGCGGTTGTAGTCGGGCGAGTCGTGGACGGTGAAGCGCAATTCCTGGTCCCTGCATATGTCAGTTGTGGGTGTTCGAAACTCGTCGAAGTCATACATACCATCGCGGTGTCTGGCCGCCGCGCTTGTCGGTCTTTGTCTTTTTTGCTTCCTTGCCTAACCGGGCAGCGCAGTACGGGTCCTGCTTGCCCATAGTCCTCTTGTTAGGCAGGTTGCGGGCGCGGTCCATGATGACAACCAGGGTGCCTATCACCGGCCCGTCGACCGTCATGTCGGAAAAGATGCCCGCAGCGTGAGCGCCGCCGAAGCTGGGGACGTTCATGGCCTTGGTCGCCATGCTGAGGGAGTCGCCCGGGTGCGGGACTCGCTGAGGGCAAGCGCGTCGGGCGAGAGTCGGTGGTGGTGGGTGGCCGCGAGTGCAGCGTCGATGGCGGAGATAAGGCGCATTCGCTGCAATTGCAGGACAGAGTGGGTGGAGTCACAGCGAAAGAATGAGAGAAGCCAAAACAAAAGAGCGACGGTGCAGAAAGAGAGGTTTGGCGTGCTAGCCGGCGTGTTTGGGTGGGTCGGGTTCGCGGGTGTTGTTCTATTCCTATGTTACGCATCCTCATGTGGCTGGTTCCAGCCTCTCTGCGCCCCGCAAGCACCAATCACATGCCCTGAGCCACCATGTGGACCTACCACGCCTTTCCCCGGTCAGATCATTAAGGCTGAGAGGGTCGTCCCTTGCAGACGCGAAGTCTCAAGTTTCTTGTCTAGCTCCATCCTGCTGCGAACGCCTGTCGCGCTATTGTTTGCACTCCTTTGGGCCTATGTCATATCCTGTGGCTGGGTCGCCGAGCGCGCTCTCCGCCTCACTCACCACGACGCGTCTCGGCTGTGACGGACCCTCCTGCATACAGACACGCGTAGGACGCATCTGTGATGCGTATACCCCCGTATTGCAGCCATTCTATTGCATTTCGTCCGGTTGTTATCAACCTACCCTGCGTCGGCTTGTCGCGATCCGACCTGTCAGACTGATGCCCTCCACGCTCAACCATGCATCTCCAGAAAATGCACGTCTGCTGATATGTCGCTCATCTCTGGGCCTGGTTGTTCCATGCGCTGCCATTGTGCTACGCGCAGTCTATGCTTCCATTCGATACTTCTGCGCTGAGTTTGGCGGATGTTCCTATGGAGACGAGGGTAAGCTGGGATACCGTTGATCACCCCCGGGCCGGCGCCAATCGCGAGATCACCCCATTGCGATCCCACAGACCCAACGCACGTCTGCGAAAGATGGCTGGTATCGCCGAATCCAATTGACGCCCAATGCCAGCACCCCGATTCGTCCGGTCTCAGGAAACATGCGGCAGTTGTCACCGTTGTGGAGATTACGCGTGGGATGATATACATAGAGCTTGGTTGTAACAGATCCTTCGCGCAAGAGTTGACATGCGGAAGGCATCTAAGCTCGGTAAAGCTTATCTAGAGATTCCCGAGGCTGGATCTATCAGGTTGTTGAGATCATGACATGTGAGCCGAGTGCGGACCTGTTGAGTTGTCGCAAAATCCAGCTTTCAAATGATGTACCCTGCAATGCAATTCGTGTAGCCAGTAAACTGATGAATGCCCAATGAGTCTTGTAAGAGACATATCTGTGGTAGTCTGGCTTCGGGATGCACTCTAGAGTGGATGTTGAGAGAATAGTGTTGGGTTCGGAGGCTGCAAAGGATGCTTCTAATTTCTGGGCGGCGCGATATACCGCCCGTCAGACAAGAATGGGGGCTTGCTACGATGAAGGAGTCTACTGCGATGGGATGGGTGAAATTATAGACACGTGACGTGCCTGCCAAACGCGCAGCCTGCTGACCACGCGCCCCCGCGTTTTCGCGACTGCATCGCGCTTGCGATGGCCTCGACCTCGCCAGTCTCGCCACCATGTCCATGCCTCCACCCACAACGGATACCGCCGAACACCATCTACCCGCCATATCGAACACACCGCACGCGCCGATGTTGCTCATACGATGCCGACCCATACGCCCTCCCCGCACCGCTTCCTAGCGCCAAATCCGCCGTCCACGCAGAAGACCAAGAAACCACAATCTGGCCTGCGCAATGCCCTCGCTATACAGACGCCGGCCTCTGCGAAGACCGCACACCCGAAGCCTGAATTGCAGTTCAAGAAATTGACTCCTGCAAAGCGCTTTGTCTTTGCGCCGCCTCGACAGACGCAAGAAGTCACCAAGGAGAGGCGCGATGAGCCGCAAGAAGATGCATTCGCACACTCAACGCCCCTGCCAAAACTGCGGAGGAAGTTCGAAAGAGTGGAAAGCATAGAAGAACCGTCTCAATCGAGCCAGTCAGAACCGCAAGATGATCTGCACGGCGAAGATGTCATGCAGTCCATCGAAGGCGGGGACACACAGCTCGGCCACTGGCAAGGGCAGGGAGGTGATCAAGAAGATGAGATGCTCTTCGAGTCGGTCCAAACGAACAAACGTCGCCGCATGTCCCCTGCTAGCTCTCCATCGCTCCAACTACCACCTGAACCCTCCACACCAGCCCCCGTATCCAATGCGACTACGCACCGCTTCAAAGTCCCGCCGCCACGAACGCCTGCGCCCTTCCCTAGTATCGCAGCGGTGACTTCCACACCTGCGAGTGCACCGCAACGTCCCCATTTCATACTCCCCGCGCTTCCCACCTCCCCACCGAAGCCTTCTCGACCGCTGCCTGAGATATTCTCTCCTTCACGAAAGACCGGCAAACACATACCTAACGGTCTTGCTTCGACTGTCACGACATGGATGATCGAGACGGCAAATACAGGTTTCGCGGCACAAGATAGGAGTGGTGCAGCCACGGGTCGTGACAGGGAAGACGGCGTGAAGCTGCGGATACGCGTCTCGAGTCTGTCGAGAGGCGGGGGTCGAAGCCGTAGCGCAGAAGAAGTAGAGTGCTATGCTGGGGGTGTAGTCTTTGCTCGCGGCGACACTGATGCAGGTAGGTATAATGCTTCAAGAACAGAGAGTGTTGATAGGGAACATGCAGCGAAGAGGGTCTTGCTAGCCGGCCAAGGTGGTGCTAGAGGCTTGGGAGGTGTCCTCGTCAAGACTGGTAGTACAATAGGCATCCGGGCACCTATGTGGGACGTTGACGTTGGCGAGGAGAGATGGACTGTTGCTGTGGACTGGGTGCTACTGTGAACTCAGGATGACACGTTTTTTCACGATTATATGACTGATGCACGATACCCACTTTTACGGAGACATGGCGGATTGCAGATCGATATTCAAGGAATCTACATTGTTTACATGAGCAGCAACGTCGGAATCTTCTATATGTGTTTCTCAAAGCACCCTTCAGTGAAAGTTCTAACATGTTCAGAGACATGGGTATAGTTTGCTCGCTGCCACCAAATGGTTGCCTTGAGCCCACGTTGTGCTTGGTCACACATCGTGTGAGAACCATGGTTTGCCAACCAACTTCAACGACTCACAACACTTGGAAAGCCATTTCTTTTACAGAATAGAAAATTTCAGTCATGGTAGTCCTCTTCACTTTCTCTTGGATATCCAGTCTCTCTATTCATATTTCACTCGCCTGCAATCAACATAATCCGTCAGTCCTCCTTTCAAAAATCCCCCTTTCGAAAGACACCGCATCAAACCCAAAGCCATGTCTACCAACAGTGACCAATGTTGGGCCTGCGCCTATGCCGACCAAGCCGACTGTGTGGTCTGCTGCCCATCGCCTTCACTACCGCCGGCTACAACTCACTTGCGCACCCCGATCACGGCAAGAAAACAATGGTCGATGCCCACCATCAGCGCCTCAACACTGAAAAAGACATGGAAGAGCTGCGGCTCCGAAACCACACAAGAATGGCGCGAAACACTCGACTGGATGAATGTGCTCAATCCAAAGAGACTCTATACATCAGTAGAGGAAGCAAAGCCGTTTTCTGAATGGCAAAGCGCTCCAACGATAGTGCTGAGTAACTGCGACTACTTTGAAAGCACGCCTACTATTACGCTTACATCCGCATCACCCACTTCGCCGCCTACAATGAATCTTACTACTTGGCACACGCTTGAGCAGCGTGTTTGGCCGAAGACGGATGTGCATGTTACGACGATATCGCAGAAACATAATAAGAAGCACAAGGGGAAGAGGCGTGAGTGCGAAAAATGCAAGAGGGATCAAGAGGTTAATCGGAAATGGATGGCGGCTATGGGGGTAGATGATGAGGGAGTACGTGGACGTGGTGGGTGGATGGGGATTGGGAAGATGATAAGCAATTTTTTGGTCGCTAGAGGAGATGGGGGTGTTGCGGTAGCTGCGCTCAACCTTTGAATTGGGATGGACACATGGTGACCTCGGGAGGATAGTAAAACAGGTACTCAGAAACCGGTAGCCAGACTCAATCCACTTCGGATTCGACATGATACTCGCCCACAGCAGTTCGATTCTCAACATGACGCTTCAAACATCCGTCCAATGATGAATTGCCCGCCAAGTGACTCCCTAAGAGCTCTCCAAAATTGCTGGCTGGGAGAAGATGCCGCACACGTGACCTGGATCTACCTCTTCGAGCTAGATGGCTCTGGACCTGCTTACATGAGCGCATCTGACGACATGCTCGCTTGCAGCGCGGTAATCAACTCATCTACGTTGATTGGGGCATGGAGCACTGAGCTGCGAACACGTACTGACAATAGATTCGCCCGCCATTCTGGGTAATCTTCCTTACCCTTCCACTGCCTCTCGCCTTTTCAGAAAGCCTCGATAACCGCTGCATAATCAATTCCACCTATCGTCGACTGGATGCACGTCACCAATGGCCTCTGTCGTAGATTGGACAGCGAGGAAGGTTAGTCGCAGCATCGCGATCTGGAGCTGCGACTAAAGTCGATGACACCGGAGGCCCCTCCATACCGCTATGCTATGCGACGGCTTCGTTGTACCAAGAGCTTTGGTGGTGGGGTCAGCAGGATGCTTCTTTGTGAATGTCCCACGTCGCCGCAGGTAGTGGCAGGTACGACCAAACCCGGGTCGGCCCTCATGAATCAGTCGCTTAGTGGCTGCTTTCCGGACCCGCGGTGCCACGCCACGTCACTCAACCCATCAACACCTCACTTTTTCCTCTTAGCCATGACGCTCCTATGCGTGCCCCTGCATCGCGGCCCTCTTTGGGTATCGAGAAGGTTGCGAGAAGGGCCCTCCTTGCTAATTGACGCTTTGCCGCACTATACGCTCTCAAGCCTTCCGGTGCCGCAAAATTTCGCCGTTGACCAACGCTGCACCACGATCCGCGCTGGCGACACAACTGCAAGCTAAGTCATCATCGGACCAATAATCGAAAAGCCCTCGCAGTGGAAAACCCCACCTTCTGGGCTCCCAACTCTATCAATCTGAGCGAGCTGGGTTTCCCTACGTGGACCAATGATGCTTACAGCCGAGAATCGTCTTCTCAGCGTGAGCCTGCGGGAGCATGCGGGCATGCCAGTCTGAGGCTTACCGAACCATTGCGCCCACAATGCGAGGCATCTCCATACGATTTCGCGCATCATGTCTTGTGACAGTTGTCCTGCACCTCTCTTTCGTCTGATCTGAGCGCTCGTCCCAGCTTTGGCCGATTGAAGCCACGCACGTTGCACACCTCCACCCTCTGTGCTTTGCGTCTAGACTGACCCGTTTCCTCATTCGTCTCTCCGCACTCAATGCTCGCACCCCACGTCTAATGTCGCCTCTGCATACCTACCGTTTGTTATCACCAGCAATGGAACAAAGAAAACATCTATAGCACGTAGCACAACTTATCGAATTTCTGGATCTCGAAACACCGCGCCTGACTTTGTTTGATACACTATGCGCCAATTCGAGAATGTTTCGATATCGCAATGGGCGAACCCGTATGCGAGCGGCGGCACCAACACCGGGAAGAACTTCTATGCTACGGCGACTACACCGAAGCCCCAACAACCCGTCTATCGTCGAGTAGTCCCACCTACTCCAGTATTCTCGTATACGCAAGTAGTTGATGAGAAGAGCAGCAATGCCGAACAAGCAGGTATGCTTGGAATGTATCATGCTTAGCATGTCCAATTGACCATTGTAGATCCAGAGAATGTTCCGGCTGCTCCAGCTGCTCCGGAGGAAACACCAGCAGCAGATGTCACACCTGAAGAGGCCGCACCACCGGCTACAACAGAAGTACTCCCAGCAGAAGAGCCATCAGCAGAAGCAGAAGCACCTGCGGCAGCAACCCCAGCAGAACCGACACCAGAAGATCCATCAACCCAACCAGCAGAGGCACCATCAAGTAGTGGGGACGACATTGTGGCAGCTGAGGTTGTGACGGAAGATGTCAAAGACGAGCCTCCAGGACCAAGCGATGCCACGAATGTTGACGCACTGCCGCCTCCACCACCACCCCCAGCACCGGTAGATGAACCACCTGCTGAACCCGAAGCAGCAGCACCTCCAGCACCGCCAGCACCAGAAGTTCTGCCAGTACCTCCCAGTGAGCCTGCACCTCCGACACCCCCCGCCCCACCAGCACCACCGGCGGATGCAACACCGGAGCCAGTAGTCGTGGAGAGTGAGAAAAGTGGTGAGTCCGAGCAGGCCGCTCCAGAGCCTCCGAAATCCCCAACCTCGAAGTTTGTTCATTTTGCCTCTGACACCAAAGACCCAGACGCCTCAAGCATAGGCAAAAAGAAGAAACAGCTGGGGTATGGTAAAGGCAAGCCCACCGCGTTCATCCGCCCCAGAAAGCCATCGACATCCGTTCCACCTCCTTCGCCACCGAAAGAGGAGAAGAAGAAGGTTTTCGTTCCGATCGGCATTATCAAGAAGGAGCGAAGGGGTTCATTGCTCTCCGCGTTGGCCAGTGAGAAGGTAATGACCAGCAAGTCAAGAGGGAAGAAATCTAGCAACGATGGCAGCCCACCACCAGGTGATGACAGGTCGACAGTAATCGCCGATGTAGATGCCCCTTCTTCAGACGTCTCTGAAAGCGTCATCATCGAGGAACCTACCGAAGACGCTTCAGGGTCGATCGTAAGCGAGACAGTACCGCCTCCGCCGCCACCGACCGATAATCCACCTGCGGTAGACGAGGCCGCTGTCAGCGAGGACGTAGTGGAGGGACAAGACGAGGCAGTCGCAGACAGTCCTCCAACTGAGGAACCAGCACCTGCCGCCCCCGAGCCAGCAGCTGAAGCCGAGCCATCACCGGCAGATGCGTCTGCGGAAACTGCTGAGCCACCACAGCCCGACACTCCTGCTCCTGTCGAAGAAGCTCCAGCTACTGATGCCACAGCAGAGGAGACTGCCCCAGCCGATCCAGTCACTGAAGACAACCCTCCCCCTCCAGTCGAGCCGACCGCAGAACCTGCCCCAGAAGCTCCTGCCTCAGAATCGCCCGCGGAAGCTCCAGCCGATGAACCACAGCCATCCAGCGAAGCGGTACCAGAGCAGGAACAAGCTACACCGGAGAGTGCAAATGCGGTCGAACCTGAAGCATCAGCTTCAGAGGAGGCGAAGCCAGCCGAGGCAGACGCCTCCGCCGAGGAAGCGGCAGCTCCCGTTGAAGAGCCTGCTGCTGCGGAAGAAGAAGCAGCCCCGCCAGCAGCTGAGGACGAACCTGCAGTTGAGGAATCTGGTAGCTCAGAAGAGCCGCCGGTGGCTGTGGAGGATTCTCCTACTGTTGAAGAGACACCTACTGCTGAAGAGACACCCGCTGTCGAAGAACCAGCTCCTACTGCTGAAGAACCAGCTCCTGCTGCCGAAGAAACAGCTCCTGCTGTCGAAGAGGCACCCGCTGTCGAAGAAGCCCCTGCTGTCGAAGAACATCCGGCCGTTGTGGATGCAGAGACGCCCGCTACTGAGGAGACACCCGCCGTTGAGGGAACTCCCGCTGCTGAGGAGTTGCCCGATACCGACGAGACAACAACAGCCGCAACATCGGCTCCCACCGAGGAAGCACCAACCCCTGAGGATACTCCAGCCGTAGAAGACGCAGCTGTTGCTGAGGCTGCACCTACTGCCGAGGAAACAACTGAACCCGAAGGAGCACCTCCCGTCGAAGAGACAGCTAGCGCCACCCAAGAAGACTCTAAAGTTGACGCCACGCCCGAGGCACCCGCTAGCGAGGAGACGGCGCCTTCTGAAGACGTCCCAGCCGCCGAAGATACGCCTGCTGGTGAAGACACTTCGAACGTCGAGAATTCTTCTCCTATCGAGGAAGCACCAGGGACAGAGGATACGCCTGTTGTCGAGGAGCCCACCCAGGTTGAAGCCACCCCCGTTGTCGACGAAACGCCCTGCACCGAGGAACCGCCTATCGTCGAAGACATCTCTACTGCCGAGGAGCCAGCTCCGCCGGTGGAACCGCCAGTTGATGAACAAACACCCGTGGTCGAAGAAGCCTCAGCTGTCGAGCCTGTTCCTACTGAAGTTGCTGAGGATGTCGCTGAACCAGAGTCAGAAGCAAGCGTTGCTCAAGAAGAGCCATCACTGGAAGCGGGGCAAGACACCGGAACATCTAGTCCCGAAGTCGAGGAAGCTCGAGCATGGACTTCAGCAGCACCGGCAGATGTCGCTGTCGTGGCTTCGATACTTGCAGCTGAAGCGAAGGCCAATGCACCTGCATCGTCACCTGTTCAAGATTCTGCTCCAGAATCTTCTGATACTGCAGAAGTTCCGGAGTCTGCGCCGGTCCCATCTAGCGACTCACCGTCAACTGAGAGCGAAGACAAGCCTGAAGGTGCAGATGTCGAGGCGCCTACAAGTACTGAACCGGTCATGGATGTAGCTGAGCCAAACGAGGCTAGCGCTGATCCCACAGGTAAGTTCATACATGTCTTACTGTCGCACAGCGAGCCGCGTTCGAGGAAATCTATTTGTAATCAATGCTGACAGGATCACAGACGAGCCCCAAGCTGACTCTACAGCGGAAGCATCAGAAGCGACTCACGCACCCGCACCTGCTCCCGCCGACGAAGCTATCACACCAGCCTCCAGCGAAGGCGACAGTGAGCCGACAGCTGCACAAGACGAGAGCAACAACTCTCCCGAGGAGCCAGAAGCTGCATCGACACTGGAAGAAGCAGATACACAAGCGAATGAAGCCACGCCTGATGTAACACCAGAGGAGCCTACTACAACGGCACAAGACACTGCTGATATGGCACCTATCGAAGTTGCTACAATGGAGGCTGAGGCGAGCGACGAGGAACTGCCAACCGCCGACACCATGCAGGACATCTCCGACTGGGAGAAAGACGACGAAGACGTTTCTGATATGGGCATCTCGGACTGGGAGAAGGATGACGATGCCTCATCACAACCCGGTGAGAGTGAGACCAATCCTTCCGAGCATCAAGACTTCGATCAAGAGAGTATCGCACACGACTCGTCGGAGCCTGTACATGAGGATGAGAAGTCACCAGACCAGGACACGCCCGAGACTGTAGAGGTCATTCAGCCGTCTGACACTGCAACCTCTGCCCCGGTTGCCGATGACGTCGATGGTGTTGCCGTCGTCTCGGTCGATGTCAACGAGGATGAGTCTACCAAGGACGATACGTCCGCGGCCGTACCAGAGGTCGTCGAACAAAACGAAGCCTCAACCTCTGGAACATTGCCAGAACCATCCGAGCCACAAGAGACTGGCGACTCAGCTGATGCTTCCGCGGAGGATCAGACGCCTGCGACACGTATCGATGAAAGCACTGAAGAGGCACAGCCTGCAGCTGGCGATGCACTTGCAGCTCAAGATCCCGCCCCAGAGGTGAGCCCGCCAGCAGCTCCAGAGGAGAATGCCATCACCGATGCAAGCACAGACGCACAAGACGATGCGAGTGCACGCGAATCGCCAGTCGACGAGTCGGAGCCAGCGGTGAGTAGCGAGGCTGCCAAGGACAGCGAGCAAGTCATAGTCTCGGCTACACCCGATGACGTGGAGAATCCAGATTCATGCACAGGTACGTATCTCCTATGTTTTTTGTGTTTCACATCTTTATGTCCGTCTGCACTTCTTTTCGCTGGCTCAATTACGCACGATTCGATGGTAGCGCGCCATGCCAGCGGCGAATCGGGCTAGCGAGCAGCGGTTGGCTTGCCCCATTGGACGCCCCATATTTTCCTTTGGCCCACCTGCCAGCACATTCTGCGGACATTCTGCCACCGCTGTGACTAGCTTATCGTCACGTGGAAGCATGTGTGTCGCCATGAGTCTCGGGCTGCGATAGATGCATCGCAATTTGTCGACGTTCCAAGATGCGTGGTTTTGCTCCGCGCTAGCTCTGCCGCTTGTCTTTTGGCTCCCGACATCCCCGTCACCTCTGAATCTCACCTTCTTTTTTTTCGTGATTGCACTTCTACTTGTACAGCAGCGATAATTTCCTCCACCCAAAAGTGGCCATGCACCACAGCCGCTGACCAGTGCAGCTGAGACTGAACCACCTTTACCCAAACTCGACGACAATACCGACGAAACATGCGCAAGCATCCCAGCTGACGCGACAAGCGAAGTCAGCCCAGACCCTGTCTCGATAGAGGCTGACGTTGAGACGCCAATTGAAATTCCCACGGTCGAAGAAAAGCAGACCGAACACGCCGCGGGCGATCCAGTTGTTCTTCAAGATATTTCCGAACAAATCGACCATGATGTTGTAGCTGCCAACGTTGCGCTAGCTGAAGCCGAGCCCGACTCTGCACCAGACATGCCGGCCAAGAAGGTGCCGGAAGTGGTATGTACAAGCTGTGATTGATTGCGAACCTGCATCTGCCTCATGCCGTTCGCCATTCAGAAGAGTATACTGATTCATTGTAGGTCCATGAGGACGTTGGGCCCGATGAGGAGCCACAGCATTCGGAGGTTTCCAGCGGAGCCAACACAGGACCGGAGCCAGACGATGAACCAGTAGAAGAGCAAGGATCCGATGCGGGGAGCGAATCTGGGTCGGAGTCCGAAGATGATGACTGGTCTGGATCTGAGGTGTCTGCCGCACCTTCTGCCTCTGAAGTTCCCCAGGCCGACGACGCGCCTGACTCAGCACCCGCTGAAGATGAAACAACGAATGCCGAAGAGGCTCCGCCGAGTGAGATCGCTGATGTCACTGCTGCTGAGCCTGAAGAGCCGGAGGAAGATCAGTCAATCCTAGACGACGATGCCGGCTCTGATGACGATGCTGCTTCCGGTCACTCCTCGAATTCCCAAGAAGAGCCAGACAGTTCCATGGTTGTGGACGATGCTGCCGAGCCCGACGAGCCAGAAGCTTCCGAGAGTCCGGAGTCGCCTGCCGAATCGGCCGCGACTACAGAAGCGCATCCAGGCCTATCACTCGAAGTCAATGTCGCAACCTCTGAGATCGTCCCGGCGGTGGAGTCTCCAGCATCAGAAGTAGAAGATCCGTCTGATCCTGCGCTCGAATCAGTCGAGGAGGAGCAAGGAGAAGACGAGAACGATGTCAGTGCTATCACTCAAGAAGAGTCTGTGAACGACGATTCACTAGTTTCGTCACAAGATTCCGCTGAGCCCGAAGAGGAGCCCGCAGCAGCTACCGAGGTGTCGGAGCCGGCGGATGCACCCCAACCAGAAGAGGAAGTTCCCCAGGAAGGCGAGGGTGACGATGCTTCTCAGGTCAGCGAATCTGGTAGTGAGAGTGAGGCAGGAGAGTCCGTTGCACCGCCGGAAGACCCTGCTGAGGCTGATGACGACGCTGCGCCTACCACAATTGATGGAGAGGAGCTAGACACCGCCGCACCACTTACCGAAGACCCATCAACGGACGGGGTCGAGAACCAGACATCTGAAGTGGGAGATGCATCGGTGGCTGGTCAAGAGATGGAAGAGCCTGCTGAACCAGAGACGCCTGAGTCAGTCGCAGCGGAACCGGAGCCGGAAGCGGAAGCTGTTGAGCAAGATGCGGATGCAGCTGCAGATGAGCCAGAGGAGCCGCCGGCTGAGGAGGCTGCGGACCCCGAAGAACCGTTGGCGACGCCAGATGGAGCAGCCGATGAGGGTCCTGATGCTGCCCAAGAAGAAGAATCTGCTGCGGCTGATGCTGACCCTTCACTCGTTGAAGAGGCGGAAGAGGCTGAGCCAGCACCACCTGCTGAAGAATCACCAGAGCCACCTAGTGAGGATGGTCAATCAAACGACGGATCCGGAGCTACAGGAGAAGCAGAGGAGCCGTCAGTGGTTGAGGCCAGCGAAGCGAACGACGACGGTGCTGAAGATGCTCCACCTGCGTCGGAACCAGTCCCCGAAGAGGACGCACCGCCTGAAGAGGCTGCTGCGGAGGTGGAAGAAGCGCCTGCTGAAGCCGCCGAGCCAGTGGCAGAAGGCGGTGATGTTGAAGACGCTGCGGCAGACGAAGCCCCGGAAGCAACGAATGAAGAAGAGTCGGCATCGTCGCCTGATGTCGAGCTCGAGGAAGAACAGGTACAAGCACCACCCGAAGCCCCGGAGGAAGAACAGCCTGAACCTGAATCACCAGCTGCTGTCGAAGAGCCCGAGCCGCCGACTGAACCCGTTCCTGAGGAACCGGAACCACCAGCTGAGGCGACACCAGAACCAACGCAGGAACCCGAGGAACCCGCTTCAGTAGCGGCGGATGCACCCGCTGATGAAATCCCTGAAGACCAGGATGTGGAGGAGTCGGTACCAGCCCCCGAAGTGGAGGTAGAAGAGGTCGTAGCCGAGGTGGCCAATGAAGAGAGTCCCGAACCTGAGCAGGCCGATGACGATGCTCCGGCAGACCGGTCCCTCGACGTTGACGAAGTTTCAAGCGCACCTTCACCTCTACCCTCTGTAGCTGCTGTTGCTGCGGCTGGGATTACTGGTGCCGCTGCTGCTGCATTAATCGGCCATGCCGCTGATGACCGCGCCGACAAGGAACGCGACTTTGCAATTGAGGACGAACCGTCAGCCGATACGCCCAGTCGTGAGAAGACCCGTCGCCGACATTCGCACACCCGTCGTGAAAGCCAGCATCGGCCAAGCCGCAGACGCGAGAGTGGCGCTAGTATCATGGAGCGACCAATAATGCCAGCCTCAGCCGTTCCCGATGCGCCAAGAACAAGGCGTCGCGACAGCATGACAGAGCGCGAAGCGGCCGAGCGCAGAAGGGCCAAATTGCGCGAGGTTGAGATAGCCAGTAGTGGTAGCGACATACAGAAGGCGTACCCGGATCCGTACCGCTCGCACTACCGAGAACCCAGGGGTGAGGAGAGATACAGCAAGCGTCGCCCCGTCGAGGAGGTTGACGAAGAAGCCGATAGACAGAAGCGACGCGAAGCCCGGCGGGCCGAGAGAGCTGAGAAGGAGCGACTTGCCGCCGCAGACGCAGCCCGCCTAAAGGCAGAAGAGGAGGCGAGAAAGTTGGAGCATCGGGAACGACGCCGAGCAGTCAGGCGTGCCGAAGAAGAGCTCATGAGGGCCATGGAGGAACGCAAGAAGCTCAAAGAAGAGCAAAAGCTCGCCCAGGAAGAAGAGGAGCGACGTATTCGACATGAGAAGAGGAGACAACGACATGAGGCTGAAAAGGAGGCGAAGCGCCTGGAACAGGAGAAGATTGAGCAGGCGGCGCGCGAAGAAGAAGAGGCCCGGAAACTACGACGTCAGAGGAGGGCGGAGCGGGAAGCAGCCAAAGCAGCTGGCTTGCTAAAACCAAAGGAAGAGCTTATTGATGTTTCTCGGGATGCTGCTCGCCGAGCAGCAGAGGAAGACGACGATGGCGCTTCACCTCCACCCCCGCTACCACCAGTAGTCGACGACACCCCTCCTCGTAGTGCGCCGCGCAGGCGTTTAAGTACCAAAGAGACTCCACCGAACGTGAAGCGCGGTAGTCTCTTCGGAGGCATCTTCGGTCGCTCGAAGCCTGACACGACCCCGCCGGCTGCAAGGCCGTCCAGATCATCTCGCGCTCGCGCCAACACGCTAGAGGCGACACCTGTCAAGTCATCGCGAAGGGAACCCGAGGTTGAGCGACCTTCGAGCCGAGATATGTCATCGGACCAGAGCCGAGAGCGTCCAGAGCGTATGCACCGCAGTAGGCGTCTTTCACATAGTCAACGTCGCTTCGCTTCTGCAGAGGAAGAGGCCGATTACTACAGGTGGAAAGAGGAGCGACGCTTCATGCGTCGTCCTGAACACGAAATGTCTGGTGGACGGGACGGAGGAGTTTCTCTTCCACCACCGCCTCCGCCGCCCGAGGATCTCCCGCCGCCACCACCAGAGCCCTTCGAATACGAGCCAGAGCCGGAACCCATCGAGACAATCGAATCACCGGTAATCGAGGACGCAGCTGCGGTTGTCGGTGAGATCTCCATCTCAGACGAGGAAAGACGCGAGCGTCGCCGAAGCAGGCGTATGTCCAAACCGGAAGAACGCCCCAAGACACGCCGCATCTCTGTCGTCGAGAAAGAGAGGCCGTCTGATCGTCGAGTGCAGTCGGATCGTCCTCGCGCACGCGACCACGGTGAAGACCGACCCAGGCCCAGGCGCGGCGAGACCGACCGACGCGACAGGAGGAAGAAGAAGGAAGAGTCCAGTGGTCTCAAAGGGCTCTTCGGAGGGTTGAAGAGGCGCATTACTTGAGTTTGGAGTACAACAAAAACACACATCTACATTTGGGAAGGGGTTCCACACGGACAACACTGGCGTTTTGGCTTGGTCGAATTGTTCTATACCATTGAAGGATCTCATACTACATTTTAATCACTGAGGTGTTTGGCGTTGGGTTGCAGCGTAAGATGGATGGATGGGTGGGCATCTGTAATTGTATGGCTGTATGTCTTCTTGTTTCTTTACATCGATGATGAGGGCTCGCGAGAGTCAGGTAGCATATAGCAGCTGCTTCGGCGGTGACACGATACGAATGATGATTCATTTTGTACGAGATCAGAACTTGCGATGCTGATGTGACTTCGTCATGTGATGGAAGAGCGGTCATGGGTACATACTTGAAAGGATACATGACGCTCACCAACCAACATTTGTTCCCCCCACCCCCTCTCGGTCGGATGGCACGGAATCGAACAATGAGGGGACCTAATCCATAAAACAACGTTGTCATGGGTGTTGATCAGCGTTCAAGGGTCTGCAGACCCCTTGCTCATGAGATTGCGCAGAGCAGTGGCCTGAGCTTCCGTCTCACATAAGGCAGCGCCCCTCGCTGCCCTACCATCACGAGCGCCAACACCTTTCACCCGCCTAGACGATAGATCGATAGTGGGCTTCATATACCCATCGGAAAACCGAACTCGCCATGGAATCTGCAGCGCCAGCGAAGCGACAATGGAAAGGTCGCACCGACGAGCAGAAAGCCGAGCGAGCCAAAAAGCGCCAGGAACAAAAGTCCGGGCTTAACGCGCGACAAGCACGTACATCAACTGGCAAGAAGCCGACGAAAGTGCAACGCGTTTTCATGAAACTGGAAGAATGGAAGCCAGAGGAGTTGGGATTCACAGCTGGCATCAAAGAAATCGAGTTTGGGCCGGACTTTGTGGTGCAGGAGTAGGTGAACGCATTCCCGGACCTTGCGGGTGGGGCTAACTCACGTGACAGCGCGCATCTTGACGCGATCGCTACAGCCGACGAGGCTTTTCGTATCAAATTAGAGAAGATAGGCTTGGGCGCGCGTCTTGGTAAAACAAACATGCCCATCACCGACGATGCAGTGATTCGTCTGGCACGCGCTTGCCCAAGCCTGAAAAACCTCCGACTGGACTCCGCTCTCCTTATCACAGGCACGTGCATCCCGCCCATTCTCACGGCATGCCCAAACGTCACCTCGCTCAGCATCACCGGCCACAACGGCCGTACAGGAAACTTAAAGCTAGACAATCTCAAGCCCATGGCCGACGACCCCGTCATCTCCGTCAGCGCACCCAAACTCAAAACCCTAGACTTGCGTCGCGCGATCAACGCTGCACAGCAAGAAGACTACTACGATGTTCTGAGAGCCGTTACAAGACCGGAGGGTCGGAAAAATAAGCTGGAGGTGCTGTTCCAGCATCCGTCTTATCATTGGGAGAAGGGCTACAAGAATGGCAGGGAGAAGCAGCCGAGAATGACGCAAGCGATGAAGGCTCAGGAGATGCTTGAGGAGGTGATGTGGGCGGTGAAAGACAATAGGGGATTTGGTGGTAGTGACGATGGTTATGACTCTGAGGGGACTGATTATAGTGCGATAAGTGCGATTATTCATGGGGCGATGTAGAGGGATTGGGGTGGAGCGTGGTTCAATATTGACATCACGAAGTATGAAAGCGTGAAAGATTATTGGCACTCAATTTATCTTGGGTATGGCGTTCGTCTTGTAGCTACTACAAGCTTCAACAAACCGCCTGCATCTCGAACTTCCTTGCCTTTGGCCCAGAAACCTTTCCCATCCTCAGTCCACTACAGATTGCTTTGAGTACGCCCACCGACCTAATCAGAAGCTACGACAACGTTTGGCATGATTATATGACCCATTCCAATCCTCATCCTCCACATCGAAGCAGCAGCCCGGTGTTGCCTGGACGAGCCCTCTCGTGAAATTGCCGCGTTCCAAGGCATCCAGTCTTCTTTTGCATCCTTCTTGACCTTGATGGTCCAAGAGAAATGCTCGGCATGATCCACCGTGATGTCAACAATCGCGTCTCGAAAGTACGTGCGCCAAGCCGCCGTCCTCTCAAGGTCAAGAACGGCTGTGAGAAAGCAAAAGAAGCTATAGTGTGGGTCTACGTCGCGGTCATTGTGCATAATGTCGAAAACATCAGGGCGCCGATAAGGGTCCAGAAGTATAATCTTAACAGATGGAGCTGAGTTTTGGAAGCGGAGCAGTGCCATGAGGTTAACCGTGTAGTAGGACCGTGGTATTCTTATATACAGCGTATTCGTGCAGGTCGCTGGTATTGGTATGAAGTCTGCAATGAATTCGTTGATATCGGGAATGTTGACCGTTGCATGGACGTCTTTTAGATGTAGGGGTTGGAATTCTTTACGGAGCTGTCGGCAGGTGTGGACTAGGCCCAAAGCTATTCTGTGGGTGTATGGGTTATTCGACGCATGAACCGGCGTAGTATTTGCATCTGCTGTAGGTCGGTTGAACTGTATGTATCGCTTTCGGACGATCAGGTATTCGTATATCTCATTACGGATTTCTGTGAAGAATGTCATTAGCAATTCTGAAGTTGGTTCTGCTGGAGGCTACTTACCTCCGGGAAGCTGGAGTAGGCGTGACTGAGGTTGCGGAATGTGTGAAGTCATCTTGTAACTTTGGCTTCTGGTTGAGAATTGGGGTGGCTCGTATGAGGTTGAACGACGAGGAAGAGGAGTCAAGCCTTAAGTACCTGTCGGTTAAATAGGGAAACATCATTGAATGGCTGTTGATACACGATGCAGGTGGTGAATGTACGATATTACTTTCACAGTACCTTCCTCATACTTCCCTTGGGATCTTGACATACCCGCAGCCCGGGTCTGTGCGTGCCTGATACTAGGGACCGTGAAGGCATCTAGAGCCTGAACCAAGATGGAAGCGTATAAGGTAGGTGAATCACGTTAACGTAGGCTCTAGGCATCTTTTGTATGTCCATGGATAGAAGTTTGCGTGCAGGATATTGACTACACTCAGTATATCATTCTTGCGACCTCTCTCAATTGTGAGAGTATCTTTTCGTCTAGGTCTTCGATGATGCGGAAGTCGTGAGTGGCTCATTTCTCTCTGCGTCATCGCAGTGCCATGCTTGATTATACCCATCGGTCATCGTCTCCTTCACCGCTAAGCTTGTCCATGTTTTGCCTTCCAAGACTATCCTCTTCAGCATTGAGCACTTTGACATCCATCCAGAAAGCTCTATGCTTCGGCTAAGCAGACACGCCAGTCTGGCCATTCACGTAGTAGGAATGTCCATGACCGTCGAAGAGATCTACTTCCTTCGCCCATGTCAACAGCGGATCGCTCGCGGGAGCGGGGTCGGTGATACCAGGACTTAGCGAAGATTTGAAGGCCAGTACCTTGAACTCAAGTAGGATCTTGCAGTGAGGTCGTTCCATACGGAAGATAAGTCGAGTGCCTGACGGAATTACGGAGTACTCCCAGATCCATTGCGGTAGTATTTCTGTCTTCTGATTACGTACTCTCGTGGTTTGGGCTCCAACACGGAAGTCCAGGAGTCGACCGGGGAACTTACGAACGAAGTAAAGCGGGTCAAGCGCCCCAAGGTAGTCGTGAGAGCCGGCATCGATCTCATCAACTATATCTCCATAACCATGACCACCGAGCGTGTTTTTGAGACCATAGATACAATCAGAGAAGTCTATGTTCGTGATACTGGTACAATGAGGCACACTCCTCAGAAATATCGGAAGAAATTCGCGGCGGAGAAGTTGACAGGTCTGCGTAAGGCCGAGCGCAAGGGGTCGAGAGCTCTGCCAATAGACTTCGCGAGACTCCCTATTTGCTCCAGGATTCACGAATTTCTTTGGCGGATATGAGCGCAAAGGTATGGCTGTGATTGGAGCGAAGCTCGACGGATCTGAGAAACGAGCAACATGTACTGTCAACTGCAAAGCTTGTTAGTACATATACCACATTGCTTTGGACCAGGGATGCGCTACGCACGATTTTTGGGTTCGAGACATCGATGAGATAGCCGTAAATTCGATTGCGCAACTCTGTGGCCGCCGTTAGGAATAAATCTTCAACCTTGAAATGCAATGTTTACCGCCAGGTAGCTCAAGAAGGCGACTTCTCGGCGCAGATGTCGCGCCGTTACTTTCGGGTGCTGAGTCTGCCATATTCGCGACAGTCGCAGTATCCTCCGATGCGAATCGTAAGGAGGGGAGTTGCGTATCCCCGAGTGGAAATACGAGGCGGATGTAACGCGCGGTAAAGGCGAGCGCGCGATCCCAATTAGGCAACGGCGGAGAGTCGGATGATGAGTCAGCAAATAGCGCAAACCATCGCTCATCTGCGCAAATGCCTTCGTTTCTATTTCACCCCTCGCAGCTCGTATATGGCAAAAGATACCCGATCTTCGGAGCTAACAGTGAAACTTCGTTGGGTACTTCTACATATTGTCTGTGAGCCCATTCACAATCGCATTTAGGCAGTGACCGTGAGTCGGGCGCAACTGATGACGCGCTGTCCGTGCTAGCCTTCTTCACGGATATAATTGTTACCGGTTTTTCCACATCTTCAGGCTCACAAACGAACAGAGTTCCTCCCTTGTACCAGCCGACTCCACAGGGAGTAGAAGAACATACCGCCCCAGTCAAGCACGCTGTGCGAGATGCGGTGCTACCTCTTGGAGCTGCCCGGAGGTATGTATGGTCTGCTGTCACTCTGAATCGAAGAATATGCTAACATCCTGGACAATCGAAGAACTTCGCAACCACATCTACAACCACGTTATCGATGCAAGCCCGAAAGAAGTTCGACTGATACCTCCGCCTTACCCGTTGTGCATGTTCAGCAGGACGCCAAATCGGACTTTAGGTTGGTCACGACTCCGACGGCAGGCTCTCGGTCTTACTCAAGTTTGTCGCCTGCTCCGGAACGAGTTCCTTCCCATGCACCATCAGTGCATTCCCGCATATGTTCCTGA